AGGCCGAATACAAAACCAAGAAACTCAGCCCAGAGCACACGCATGTTTGCAGGCTGCAGCGAGCAGAGTCTGTTCAGTACATGCTCTCTTGGAGGGACCTTTCAGCTCCTCTGGAGTGGCTGACATTGGCTTACTTCATAGCACTTTGAAATTGCAAGTTGTTCGCCCAACATCATGAGGCATCCTTACAAACAAAACATTTTATGTACTATAGGGGACCAGCAGGTGAGGTAGTGGTTAAGGGGTTGGACTCCATATGACCGACCACCTTTAGACTTCAGACCTGGTGGCTTGAAAAACTTGCTGGGTGCATGTGCGTCTGTGTGCAAACCCAAAATCCTGGGAGGAGACTGGAGAAGAAGAAGAAGAAGGAGGAGGAGGAGGAGGAGGAGGAGGAGGAGGAGAAGGAGAAGGAGAAGGAGAAGGAGAAGGAGAAGGAGAAGGAGAAGGAGAAGGAGAAGGAGAAGGAGAAGGAGAAGGAGAAGGAGAAGGAGAAGGAGAAGGAGAAGGAGAAGGAGAAGGAGAAGGAGAAGGAGAAGGAGAAGGAGAAGGAGAAGGAGAAGGAGAAGGAGAAGGAGAAGTTTTAGAAGAAGAAGAAGAGATTGCAATGTGGCCATACCCCTGGGGGGTGATTTCTCATTTTCTATCTCTCTCTGGCAAGTGCACATGCCCTGTGAGGAAAGAAAGATCTTTTACAGAAATGATTGTATTAATATAGAACGTTTAATGCTTATTAAAGCACGTTTGGTATAGCTAGAGTTATTTTCAGCTATACATGGGCAGCTATTTACCTTTTGGAGTCATCCTGGCCAGGGCTTCTTAGCTATGGCACATATCCCTTCAACAGGAACTACTTATAGCTTGTGTTGCCCATGGTTGGCTCAGCTGCCAAGATTATGCCAACTTTCCCTCCTCTGGGATCCAATGCCCAACATCTCAGACATCAGTGATGCCTCCCACAAGACCCTGCTGGCTTGAGGCCTTTTGCCAATTTGCCTAATCCCTTCTGCTGGCAAAGGCAGTAATACCACTGAGGCCAGATCTGCATGAGTTAGTAGCTTGATAATCATGGGCTCACTTAGGGCCGCTGAAAGCATTTGCCTGGCCTTACTAACAAATATAACAAGACATTGGTAAGGAGGCTCAGTGGCCAAATATAACTAGAATTTGTCTATACTGCCAAAAAAAAAAAAAAAACTGATAGAAAAAGCCTCGATAACCATGAATGGACTGCCTTACAGGTTTAACTATCTTTAATAGACTCCTGAGATTTCTGCTTGTGCAGTTTCTGCTAAAGAACTGACATGGAATAGACACATCACACTTAGCCCCCAGGGTTCCCCACTAGGATTGCAGAAAACCAGAGGCTGATACATAGCTCTGCCCTGCAGGAAACCTGGATGTGAGTGGCTTAACCTGTCTCCTCCTGTGCTGAGCCAGCATGGGAGGACCCCCAAGCTGCCCCGCTGGCTGCTGCATCCGGTTTGCAGACACATCCGTGGGTACCTGGACAAGCAGGTAGCACCAGACAAAGGAGCTCCTTGTTGCTGCCTGGATTAAGTAGGAGGCTCAGAATGGTGCACGAGTAGCTTCTCTTCAGAATGTCTAGCAGCTGCCAAATAGTCAGAAAGCCAGTGGGAAAGAAAAACAATCAGCAGAAGGAACATTTATAAGAATAGTCTGAGGGACCAACAGTTGGTGTAATGGCTATATCTCTGGACTCCATGTAGTCGACCGTGGTTTGAGTCCTGGGCCCGGTGGCTTAAACTCACAATGGGCACGTGTGCGTGTGTGCCCAAGATTTCAAGAGGAGAATAGAGGGGAAGGGATCGTGGTGTGGCCATCACCCCGGGGCGGGGGGGGGATTTCTCACTTTCTGTCTCTCTGTCTTTCTGGCGAGCACATGCGCCCTATAGCAAAAACCTCTAAAAAAAAAAAAAGAAAGAAAGAAAGAAAGAAAAATATAGTCTGATATCTGATTTTCAAAAAAAAGTGTCCATTTTACGGAAATTCTAATTACACTGAGTGCCTTCAGCATGGAAGGCATTTTCTAGGTGCTGAAAACATCACAAAAGTAAGATACAATCCTTGCCCTTAATGGGCTGGTGTGTAAGTCATGTGTGTGTTTGTCAATGCACAGGTTCAGATGTAAGGAGCACAGCCTGCAGCGAGAGTCCATGCTGACTGCTGAGGATCTAGGGCGTCAACACAGACGAGTTTGCATTTGTGCTGGATCTGGAAGGGAATGGACACAGCACGCAGAAATAGAGGAGAAGGGATTTCCAAAGGAAACACAAATACATAAATAAACTCAAGGAAAGGCAAGGAGGAGGGAAGGTGCAATGAGTGTGCGTTTATACCCAACGGGCTGAGGTGCTTAGAGAATAGGAAGTGGGAACCTGTGAGGTCCCCACCTGGGCAGAAAGCACCAAAGACACACAGGAGGGATTCGCTAGGTCTCCAGCCAGGTCTCTTACAGCTGCATTTACAATGCCACCGAATCAAACGCACTGGTTCGAGAAACGTGGTATTATCTGTTGAAGATATGTCATAGTTTTATCCACTGTACTAGGGAGAAATGTTCACCTGTTGAAATATCCATTTTGTAAGCTAAATAATGTGATTGAATGTATAAAAGAAAATGAAATAAAAAATTTTTAAAAAGAAACTAAAACTATTTAAAGTTTTTTTTTTTTTTAAAAGACAGGATCTCTATTGCTTCTCTTTATTTATTTATTTATTTATTTATTTATTTATTTATTTATTTATTTATTTATTTATTTATTTATTTATTTATTTATTTATTTATTTATTTATTTATTTATTTATTTATTTATTTATTTATTTATTTATTTATTTATTTATTTATTTATTTATTTATTTATTTATTTATTTATTTATTTTGAGAACTTTTTGCTACAGGGCGCATGAGCTCCGCCAGAAAGATAGAGAGACAGAAGGTGAGAAATCACCCCCCGGGGGGGAAGGCCACGCTGCAATCCCTTCTCCTCCATTCTCCTCTCAGGATCTTGGGCATGCACAATGCACGTGCCCGGCGTGAATTTAAGCCACCGGGTCCAGGACTCGAACTGTGGTTGACTACATGTCCAGCGACATAGCCATTACGCTAATCGCTGGTCCCTCTAACTGCTTCTCTTGACTCTGCCCTTGTTTGGTTTGGCACAAAATGCCACCTTGTTCTGGTTATGAGATGTGCTCCCAATTTACAGTTCTGAGGATGTGCCCATGTACTAGAAAGGCCAGGGAAATAAAAAAAAAAACATTCCACCTTCCAAAATATTTACTGTCTTTGTCCCCAAACACCCTTGCTTTTTCTAAGTCACATAACTAGAAGAAAACTGTAAATCTTTTCAACTCCTGTAAAGTGAAAACTTAAAGGGTTCTGCTGAAATAATTCACCAAGTACATTACTAACATCAAAAATGGTTGTCATTCGGTCATTCAAGGAATATTTCTCAAACACCTATGAGAAAGACAGAGAGACAGAAAGACAGAAAGCTAGAAATCACCCCCCAGGGAGGACGGCCACGCTGCAATCCCTTCTCCTCCATTCTCCTCTCAGGATCTTGGGCATGCACGCACATGCGCTAGTGTGAGTTTAAGCCACCGGGTCCGGGACTCGAACCACAGTTGACTACATGGGAGTCCAGTGACATAACCATTACGCTAACTGCTGGTCCCATGACAGATAAAAATTTCTCACCCTCGTGGAGTTTATAGTCCCACAGGCAGACAGACAACAAACGAAGTAAACAGGTAGGACAGTGGGCCGGATGACAAGATGCGCTACGGGGAAAGGTGCAGGGAAAGGATATTGGTAACGCTCTTGACATTTGAGAACGCACTTGAAGGAATAGAAAGATGGAGCGCCATGTGGCCATCTAGAGGACCATGTATGGCAGAGCACGAGTACTGCAAGGCCCCTGGAACACACCTGACGAGGCTGAGGAATTACCAGGATGCTGGTGTGTCTGGAGCTGGATAAGGGAAGGACAGAGGACAAAAATGGAAAGACAGAGAAGGGGCAGTAGCCAGGAGTCTGAGGCAGGAGGGCCAGGAGTCAAGCATGGATGGAGGAGCATGGAGAAGACCACGTGTCAAGGAAGCGCTCAATGTTAGCAAATGTGACCAAGAGGCCAAGGAAGTTGAGGACTAAGACGGGACCATGTGGTTAATACTGTGATGGGCATTAACTGCCCCGATAAGAAGGGTGTCAGTGTAGCAGCGGGTCAGAGCCTGCCTGTGGTGAGTCTCAGGAAGAATGAGAAGTAAATAATTACCCACAAAGACTTTCACTGTAAAGGAAGCAGAGGAATCGGGTGGTCACCAGAGGGGGAAGTGTCAAGAAAGGTTGTTAGGGGGGCTGGTTGGAGGAGCAGCAGGAGCACAATACTCTGAGGCTGGCACACCCAGGTGGTTCTGGCCAGACACCGTACTGGGTATACCCACCATCAGGGCTGGCCACGGCTGGGAGTGCATTCTTGCTGCACAGGGACCCTGTTGCATGTGCCTTGCTCTGCCCCCTACCTCTCTTTGTCTCTCTTTTTCATGGAAGAATAAAAAGAAAGAAAAACCCCAAAATGTTGTTTTTGTTTTGTTCCATTTTTTTTTAAAACAAGAGCCATACCATTCTATGCGTATGGTGTTAGTGATGGATACAGGGAAGGGTTGAATTGGTGATGCAGGGGAGAGAAAGGGCGATTGTCAAACAGAGCAGAGCGAGGGGGCCAGGTGGGAAGGAGGAGGATTTAGTGGTCAAGCGAAGGGAGTCAGCTTAGACAGAAGCAGGAATCTTCAGGAACAGCAGGGAAGACGGAGCATTGAGACTGGTTGACAGAGATGAGTGCCAGGAACTCAGGGACACCCTCTTTGGGCAGTTTTGTCTTCTCAATGGAGCAGCACAGGGGAGGGGAGGGTGAGGGCCCTTCAGGCAGTGACCGACTCTGAGCAAGAAGGCAGAGCGACAGGAAATGACTTACATTTTGGAAGCTCCCTGTGGCTTCTGGACTCAGAAGAGACTGAAGGAGGCAAAGGGGAAACAGTAGCCAGTTAAAACATGATTGTAATCCAGGACAGACATTTTTATCTTTTTAAGACAGACTACTAGCAACAGAAATGGGGGAAAAATCAGAAACCGAATGTATTAATATTTTGAATACAGGGAAATGTGGAAGAGTCAATGCAGTCCAAGGCAATCCCTCCCAACACCCCAAAACCAATACAACAAAACCAAGAGATGTTATTACAGCATTTAAACTAAAATCAATAACATTTTAGTTGCTTTTACTGACAACGATCCAGTTTTAACTAGCAAAGATTATTCCAGAACTGTGGGCAATACCACTAAGTGATGCCAGTGAATACAGAAAAATCGGTTGGCACAGTAAAGCGTTATAGAAATGGAAGCTGTAGTTAAAAACAAGGCATCTGCGTCTGCTTCAATAAGCCAATTGAATGAATGAATCAATCAGTCTCAAAATCAGTGTGGAAAAATATCGCAAGCTTTCCAAGATCAAAGAATGGATAGTAAAATATTAACTTGATGTCCTTTTGACTTTCTTTTCTCAGTATTTATTAGTGTTTGACCTCCTTGAAATGAGAGTTCCATTATAAGCTCTTTTGATAAATGGATTGAAAGGTTGTCTTGAAGCACTCTGGCTTCTCTAAGTATTTTCTATTCTCCAGTGAAATACTGTTAGTCTACATTTTACAGTAACTCTCCTCAGTGTATCAAAAACAGGCATCTCTAGTCAACGCAGAGAAGAACTAGGGGGACTGCCCTCTCTCTCTCTCCCTCCTCTGCCAACCATAACTACATCTGTGGATTTTATTTATGAAGTCTTTCTTTTCTATCTTTATTCATAATAGAAGGCATGCACATGAAAGTGAGTGAGAGAGAGAGAAATACCGAAGGGTGTCAGGGTCTGGTCACACCACAATCCCTTTCTTCCAGTTCATTCTTCCAGTCTTCAAACTATGGTCATTACGTGGTATCTAGCTTCCGAAGAGCAGCACATTAGTGCTACACCACAGAGTCAGCCCCTATAGACGATCTATCTTACAGACCGTGGTATGTGCATTTGCATATCATGGTAAGAGCACTGTGAGAAAAACATATCTATAGGGCCACTAGGGAACTGGACTCCCACATGACTGATCTCAGTTCAAACCCAGGACCAGGCAGCTTGCTTTCTCTGTTTCTCTTGCTCTCTTTGTCTCTTCCCGGTGAGTATTCATGCCCTATAGCAAGTTAAAAGTAATAATAATAATAATACATAAACAATTCTTTAAAAAATAAAAGAAAAAACTGTCCACTGGCGGTTTATGAAGCTGACCTTAGACACATTTAGGACTGGAAACAACGAAAGTACCTAAGAAACCCAGTTCTTCTCTTCAAACTTATAATGGGGAGTAATGCCTACATAACTTCGCAGAGACGAGCAGGCCGAAATCCCTTCCTCTTCTTTCCCTAACTCGAGTTTTGTTGAGATGCATTAGCTGCTAACTTTTGTCACTCAGATGTTCTGTGGAATCCTAAAGGGCATATGAAACAAATTCCTATAAGAACCATGGCAGTTTTGGGGAACCAGCAGTTAGCGTAATGGCTATGTCACTGGACTCCCACGTAGTCGACCGCGGTTCGCGTCCCAGACCCGGTGGCTTAAAACTCACGCCGGGCGCGTATGCGTGCATGCCCAAGATCCCGAGAGAGAAGAATGGAGGAGAAGGAGGAGAAGGGATTGTGGCGTGACCATCCCCCCTGGGGGGTGATTTCTCACTTTCTGTCTCTATGTCTCTCTCTGTCTGTCTGGCGAGCACACGCGCCCTATAGCAAAAAACCTCTCCAAAAAAAAAAAAAAAAAAAGAACCATGGCAGTTTTTGACTGAACCTGAACAGTTCAATTTCTAGGATTTAACACTAAAGAAACAACTAAGAATATGCAAAGATTTAGCTGTAAGAAGGGTCATCACAGCACAGTTTACTAGAAAGAAAAACTGGAATGCATCTGAATGTCTAGCAATAGGTGATTAGTTAAAAAGAACAAGAGAGAGAGAGAAATTTCATCCATGCAATTGAACTATGCATGGCCATTAGAAAGGATAAGTATTTGAAGATACAGAAAGATGTTCACAGTAGATGTTGAAATAAAATTAATATGATGAGCCTGATCACATTTTTGTAAAAGGAAAAAATAAACTTACATATACAAGTACAGAAGAGGAAGTTAGATGCATATCCATCAAAGGATTTATGGTGATTCCGTCTAAACACAGGATGTGCAGGCGGGCTGTCCATTCTGCTTATCTACACATTGTTTGAATTTGTCCATAAATATCACTTTCTTACTTGTGGAATTGGAAAAGTGATGGTAAAATGTAACTAAAGATGATTTGCAGTGGCGTGCGAGTCTCATAGGAAGACTGTCTGGCCAAATGCATCCCTCCTGCTCCTGACCTTGCCGGCTTTCTGGACATGTGGCTGTGTTTGAGTTTAAGTGTTAATGTGGCCCAGAGATGGCCTTCTTCCATGGATCTCTGACAATCAGCTCAGAGTCAGGCTGACTGTACTCCTCAGATGTCAAGGGAAGGAAACAGAAACCACACAGCAGAGTCAATCCAATGGAGGAGCAGTTTTTTTTTTTTTTTTTTTGAGAGGATTTTTTTTTTTGCTATAGGGTGTGTGCACTTGCCACAGACAGAGAGAGACATAGAGACAGAAAGCGAGAAATCACCCCCCAGGGGGGATGGTCACGCCGCAATCCCTTCTCCTCCATTCTCCTCTTGGGATCTTGGGCATGCATGCACACGCACCCGGCGTGAGTTCTAAGCCACCGGGTCCGGGACACGAACCGCGGTTGACTATGTGGGAATCCAGCGACATAGCCATTACGCTAACTGCTGGTTCCTAGGAGGAGCAGTTTTGAACACAAGCTTTAAGTCGTGTCATGATGTTGGTTTCCTTTGCATAAAAGCGACAGGGGATATTCAGAGACAAAGTTTAGTGGCAACACCTTTGGGAGTTAGGGGAGAATACTATGCAGGGGTGAAGAGCAAAGTCCCAGAAAGAGGACATGAACCCAACCCATGTTTGGTCAAATCAGCCTTACGCTAAAAAAAACAAGCAGTTAGGGAAATTCCCAGTAATTTCAAGTACAAGGCCCAGTGTAAGGTCCAAGTAATTTATAAAGATCCCATTCAATTAAGAATGAAGTCCCCAAAGAACTAAATTCTAATACCTTGAACTTCAAACAAAGTGCCTTAAAAGCAACACTAAAAACATCAAATGGAAAGTAGATTAAGTGCTTGATTCATCTGTAGGCACTTGCTTACCACAAACTCAATTACTTCTTCCAAAATGAGATGCAGGTTGCTTTGGATTTACTGATAGGCTTGTCCCCTAACTGAGAATGACAGATCGAAGGTGAGAAAGCTTCAGTCCTCTTTCTCGGTAACTCTCAGGTAAATGCATAAATAGATAGCTACACTTTGCAAAGCAAAATAGCGGCCACAGGCAAAGTCGAGCCCATAACCACTTCTATTCAAATAGAGAAGGGAGCGCTGGGGCATATTTGTTTTTGAATGATCGTCAAGCCCCCACGCCCGGGATAATGCTTGCTCTGAGTAAGTATTTTCTCTCTGCCAACACCCTCTGTTCAGCTCTCGAATGTGCTCTTCTCCAGTTTTGGCCTATTTTCCAGTTCTGAGCAGAGGGCAAAAGCATGTGTGTGTGCCTCACTCTCCCCTTAGCTCACTCAAGCCTAACCCGCAGTCATGCTGGCCTTTGTGCCGCTGCCAGCATCCCCCTCTCGGAGACATCTGTTGCCTTGCTCAAACCAAGCAGCTCGGAAGCACGTGACTGGGCCATGCAGAATTGGAGATCGCCACCTCCAACAAGAGGCGTATGTCCACCTCGCAGCTCCCCTGTCATTTCCTCCGCTAGCCTCAGCTTCAACAAGTGGCCGAGCCTCCCACAAGCTGTCAGGGACAGATGCTATGTGAAAAGAGGAAATTGGACTCAAAGATGCTACAGCTTTTTTAATTAAGTCCAACCCAAAAGCCAAATAGCGAGGCATGAAATGAATGCTTCCTTGCAAATAAGTACCACGTTTCGAAAACAAATGCCTCGGTGTGGGTTAGTGGGCAACTTATTAGCTGTCTCCAATGTCACTTTGCTCCTTATTCGTTGTGGCCAACATTGTCGCCCCGGCTTGGAAAACGCCTTTTGTGCTGCTGTATGGATGTCCTGGGTTTTCTTGTGTGATTTTCTTCCTCGCCGTCCCTGGGCTAGCTCAGCTGGCAGGATGAAGTGTGGCCACTCGCAGCCAAACACTCTCACTTGCCTCCTCACTCCCTCGCTCCTCACACCCATGAGTGCCCCCTGCACCAGGCCTGGCTGTACATCCTCTGGAACAGGACGAATAACGCGTTGTGGCTTCCCTCTTTTCAGCTCCCTGAGCTAATTCCACTCATGTGCTTTGTCTCCGTGTCTTTGTCTCCTTTTTCCTCTTATTTACTATTTGGTTCTCCCTGGCTCCTTGCAGTCCTCTCTGCATGCTGTCTGCTAATTAAAGCTGACTAGGACCTTCACTGCTATTCTCTGCTTAAATGCCCAAGCTCCTTGTTGATTACTAAGGACCAGGAGCTCTGTTAAGATCACATGGATTTTTAAGACAAAAGAAAATGGAGAGGAGGTGCAGAGACAAAATAACCCTCCCCCCATGCAGAAGGAAAATAGAGGGGAGTAACTTTAAAAAAGAAAACACTATGCATTCTAAGGTAATCGCCAAATACTGATGAGTCTCATTAAGAGTTACGTCTTTCTAATTTCTTTCCCATCATTTCAACCACAGGAAAATCAAATGTATGATTTAAAGTGCTTAAGAAAGCTCTTACACACTTCGAAATCAATAGCGAGAACCTCAGCTGTCACCTTGCCCATCTTACAGACCAGGAAACTAAGAACCAACTTGGCCAACGCCACACAGCAAGGAGTTGCTGAATTCAGAGTCTCAGATTT